TCTTCTTCCACGCTATTTTTAGTAATCCCACAACTCCCCAAATTCTATCTCTGCCTAAGATCCTCCTTAAATCGTATGTCTAATAAGTCATTTTTTTAAGATTTTATTTTATTTATTTGAGACACAGAGAGAGACAACATGAGTGGGGTACCTGCACTGACAAGGGAGCCTGACCCACAATTTGATCCCAGGACCTTGGGATCATAACCTCAGCCTGATGCAGATGCTTAACCAACTGAGCCACACAGGCACCCCATGTCTGATAAGTTATAATCCATTTTCTCAAGTCTTGCTCAAAACACATCTCGGTAAATTTTTACCATATATGTTTTAGCAGTTTTCTTTTACAACAAAGTATCTGGGACAAATCATTAGATTTAAATCATAATTTTTCTAGAGATAGATCCCTGAAATTGTGAAAAAGTTTTGAAGTTCTGTTTGTTTCCTTTCTTGCAAAATGAACATGTTATAGGAGTTCCAAACATTAACTGGCTAAGACAGTATGTATAGATCTAAAAAACTGATCCTGATAATTGTTTACAAAATGACAGTCACTATTGTTGTTTATTAAATATGTGTTTTTCACAGCCTCCTCATTATAGTTTCTTAAATGAGTACTGGTTTGTAAAGGATTATCAACATTATCCATTCCATTTATGAGAAAGAGGAGAACAGCTAATAAACTTTGTTGTAAAAGCCAAAAAAAAAAAAAAGACAGTCACTATTATTTGCATTACTTTTTAAAAATAACTGGAGCACTTTCTCATGCTTTTTATGGCACCAAACACATTGTATTATTTCCATGTATGCTTTCCCAGTGAGGTCCTTTCACTGGATTATATAGTAATTGTTCATTTGTATTAATTATCAATCGGTAGTGATACATTATTTAATTACTTATTACTTATAGCATTATTAGTAAAACTCATTAATAAAATCCATTTCTCCACGAAAGGGCACATATTAACTATACAAAATGAAAAAAAAGTAATTGTTAATGTTGATCTGGCTATGGTAAAATTAATGTATTTCTGGTAAGAATATAATACATGTGGGGATATAATGTTAGAATGGTTTACCAATCTGTCATTAAAAACAATTTTCTATAATAATATTAGGTATAAAAATAACTTTACCTTTTGTGCATAATTTCATTGGTGGGTTATTTACCTGAAGGAAAAATACTGAAATGAGAAATTAAGGTTTTGGTCCAGATATAATCCACAGTATATTCATTATAATAGTACATAAAAATTCTCAGTACTTCATAATTGAGAAATATTGTAAAAATTAGCAGACATGTTTGTTAAAATAGATAGGAGCACTGAAAATGGTAACTATAGTATCATTTAAGTTGTAAATTTTGAGATAAATACAAATTATGTCTATGTTGACATAATTTATAATTTGTATTATCATTTTGTTCTTTTGTCTTATTTTTAGAGGTTATGTTTGTAAAATGAATTGACATACTTAACTTTTGTCACCTGAGTTCTATGAAAATCAAAATACTATAAAAATTGTATGTATGTATGTGTGTTTATTTCCATTTATCAACAGTATAAATTTTTCAGACTAGCCCTTACACTTCACGATGAATTAATTATCTCAGGATTTCTATTTCTTCTTGGATAATTCTTGACAAATTATGTTTTTTAAATCATCTGTCATCTCATTTTGAAATGAGATCCATTATTACAAAAGGGTGCCAAAGATTTTATAATTCTAATTTTTTTCTATTGTTAATTTACTCTCCACTCCAATCATGTGTGTTGGTGTTCTGTCATTCCTTTCTATTGCTTTTTAAAGCACACTATTAGTGAAAGTACTGAAGTAAAAAAAAAAAAGTAAAAAAATACTTGTTGAGAAATTCTAGAGTATTTCACAAAAATAAGTTTTAGTTTTATTCTGTAGTTATTTGAGTGTATTCCCTCAGGTTGCATTTTGCGAGTGAATTCCTAAAAGGAATAATTGAAGGAATAATCTCAGCTAATAACAGTATTTTTTTCAGGAATAGAAATTTATTTTACCACATATAATTATTTATTAAGGATTGTGTTTATTACACAGAGATTGAGGTCAGAAAAACTGAGCTCAGGGATTTGTTGTTTTTCTTAATTTTAGAAGTTTGGTCAAACATTACATGTATATACTTATTGAGGATAATTGAAGATGACATTTTTCAAATCCGTGAATTTCAAAGATACTGAAGCTTTGGATTCTTAAATACTGTTACCATTTTTATTCCTTTCTCTTATTGTATTTTTCATCACTGTTATCATTTTTTATTTTCAGTGTTAAAAATTTTACTAGACGCCATGTGATAGTGTACTGCCAATATTTGAGACAATGATAAGGATGATTATTTGATAGTAAAAATTTAGTTTCTCCTTTACCTGGATTACTTTAACTGGAGGACGTAAATAATAAAAGCGAAGTAGAAAATACATTTAGTCTTTTAGTCTTTTCTCAGGCTTTTCCTTCAGCAGTTTCTCGGCTCACTCCTCTTCCACGTTACCCAGCCTCCTTATTCCCTACTTCCTCTGCGGCTCATCGTCCAGTCACATCCGGGTTCCTTAGCGTGGTTCAATTGGTTGCGCAGTTATTCTCAGCCATTAGATGAGCTGGTGGTCGCTTAGCGGAGGGTTGAGGCGAGACGTTAGGTGAGCTGGAGCTAAAAAAGGTAAGGAATTCGGGGTTTTAGGGACGAAAGACAAATTTATACCTCAGGAAAAATAGCCAGTAGCTATATCATGTCTTATAAATTCATAAATTGTGGTAATTGAAGCTTTGATTTTTCTCTCAGGCATTTTCAGTATATCTTACGAACACATTATGTAAGTTAAAAATACATGTGCATAGAATATCTAGAGGAGTTAGGTGTCTTTTTATTGGAAAGTATGTTTTCGTTTTTCATCCGCTCGGCAATGTGTTCCTGCTGCCGCCGTGGAAAGTCCCTGAAGTTCTCGGGTTTTGTCCGTGAATCGTGGGGGGATGGGTTAAAAATGCATGTTAGTTTGAAATGGAATATACGATTATAGAGAACCCTATAGTGGGGCTGAGAAGCTTTTTTAATGACCTGATGTACATGTTTTGTTGTTTTAACTTGGCTTTTCTCGGTTATATTATGGCGCGTCCTCGCGGATTGTTTGTCGGGTATATAGCCAGGGCGCCTTTAACGAGTTTTCTCTCTGAATGCGGGGGTAACTGAAAAATATATGCAAAATATTTAACCACTGTGATCACAAGCTTCTACTTTACTGATCAGATATCAAAATTTTGATTCACCTCACAGGAATCTCAAATTTTTAGCATCCAGTAAAAATCACGCAATTGCTTTAACCAATATTTGCTAAAGTCTTTTCTCTCTATATAATCACGGCTTAAATTCCAGTAACGAAGGTTTTAATTCGTACCTTAATTTTATGACTTAGCATTTTAAAAATCTTTCGAGAGAGACATTACTGTAAATAAGGAAAGACTATTTGATATGTGACCAAGATGAATGGAAATAGGGGCGAGGGAAAACTAAATAAAATTAACGTATTTGTGTGCACTTATGAAAACTTAAAATGTTAACTTAGATACAGAAATGCATTTTTTGTAGCTTTAAAAAAAATCCACACTATGGGCGCCTGGGTGGCTCAGTTGGTTAAGCGCCTCCCTTCGGCTCAGGCCCTGTGATGGAGTCCCCCGTGGAGCTCCTAACTCAGCAGGGAGCCTGCTTCTCCCTCTCTTGCGTCCCCTGCTTGTGCTCCTTTTCTTCCCTGCCCTCTCTCTCTCAAATAAAATAAAATAAATAGTAAAGTCTTTAAAAAAAAAATCCACACTATTTTTTAAAAAGCGAAGCCTGCATACTGCACCCAAGGTTTTTATCAGAGGTCTGTAGATAGTGGAGCATTTTTCTTGTTAAGCCAGTGCGCATTTTGCTCTTTAGGTTACAAATTCCATTTCTTTCTAAGGGGGGAGGGACAAAGGGAAACGGGGAGAGAATCTTAAGCATGTTGGGGGGAGATAGTTGCGGGAGGAAGAGGAGGGATGAGCCTCGATGCCAGAACCTGAGATCATGACTTAAGGGAAAATACAGAGTCGGCTGCTTAAGCGACTGAACTGCCCAGGCATTCCTCATTTTTAAGTTTTTATTTATTTTTGAGTAATCTCTACACCCAGTGTGGGGCTGGAACTCATGACTGTGACATCAAGAGTACATGTTCTAGAGGTGCCTGGATGGCTCAGTCGTTAAGCATCTGCCTTCATCTCAGCTCATGATCCCAGGGTCCTGGATCAACCCCCACATCCGGCTCCCCGCTGGGCGAGAAGCCTTCTTCTCCCTCTCCCCCTGTGTTCCCTTTCTTGCTCTGTCTCTGTCAAATAAATAAAATCTTTTTTTTAAAAAAAAGAGTAACATGCTCTATTGACAGACAAGCAGACACCCAAGTTTCACTTTAAGTAAGAAACAAAACAGCTTATGAATGGTACTTCACCTAATTTTTACATACACTGATAAAATACATCGTTTTGGCTTATAATTTATTTTTTGCAATGTGTATATGTTTTCAAGCAGTTAACAGCAAAATGGTGGAAGCAGATATACCCGGGAAGCTGTTTATAGGAGGCCTCAGTATCGAGACTAATGAAAAGACTCTTGAAGCAGTATTTGGGAAATATGGTCACATAGTGGAAGGTAAATTTTAAAACCAACATCTATGTAAATGTTCAAAGTAAATTATATTAAATATATATCATTGAACAGCTAAGCTAAAATTATTTTTCTGTTTTTGAAACGTACTTGAGCACCTTTTTTTTTAATATATTAGTATTTGTGTTACATATTGGGAAAGCATAATAGCAATGAATGAAAGGGTACACCTGCAAGTCTCTTACTATTGGGAAGGGGAAAAAAGGAAGAGCAAATAAATCAAATATGTATATTGTGGAGGTAGCGTTTTGAAAAGGGATAAGATAGGCTAACTGTACAGTTCTTCACTGTTAATTTTTAGCAACTCATAATGATGTAAAATGTAAAGTTTTAAAATAACGTGCAAATTTTTTTTACTGTTCTATCCAGGACATCAGTTAAGTTAAAAAGAACTTAGAAAAAATCATCAAAGGGGGGGATTGATAATTTTCAAAATATTAAGAAGGTTCACTTTTATGTAACATCAAATTAAATTTTTATATGCACTACAGTTCTTTTGATGAAGGATCGGGAAACAAACAAGTCCAGAGGTTTTGCTTTTATTACATTTGAGAGCCCTGCTGATGCTAAACATGCTGCCAAAGATATGAATGGGAAGGTAAAAGAGTCTCTTAAAAATTTTCTAGCTCTATTGTTCATTGAATAGTATTTTTAGATTGTTTTTAAAGATAGCATAATGCATATGCCAGAATTCTTTACCTGTCACTCTTCTTTTTGTTACATAATTACTGGAGAGCGTGGTTGGAAGGAGTGAAATGAACATTAGCTTTAGCGGTATATGTTAATGTATTTCTACGTTAGTATTCCAGTATTTAAAATTAAAAAAAAAAACACCTGCACAAAAATAATACAGCAGAAAAAGCTCTTGAAATTCATGGAAGTGTTTCTGTAGCATAAAAGCTTAGGAAGACAAATAGGAAAGATTAATTCCTGTTTTTTGGGGAAAACAATTTTTGAAGAAGTTAATACTTGAGCAGAACCTTTACATTCATACAGGCATTCGATTCTTGAGGAAAAAAATAATAATGAGTAAACTGTTGAAGTGGTGATCAAAATAATTATCTGGTCGCCTACACCTAATCTTGCTCTTCTCTCCTTAGTAAGTTTTTCTTCAGTTACCAGTAATTTTTGTAAAATTGGTACGTGACTATTTTACTATAGTGGTTGAGGGTTTATTTTGATCCAGGCTTTAATGTACTAATGAATAAAGCAGATAAGTCTTTTTCTTTCTGGATCTTAAAATCCAGTAATTATGTGTCTTCTATATACTTTTAAGTTTTTCAGTGATTCTGTTAAAATACTGAATACTTTATTGCACTCCAGGTCACTCCATTCTAGAATTTTTCGCTTCTTCATTTCTTAGATTATCCTAATCTGTTTTATGGCTTTATTATTCTTTAAGCTATTCCCAATATTTTTTGGACTGGTCAAGCCTAGCATTTTCAGCTTCAAAAACTCAAATTGCATATTTACTCCAAAATTTTATCTCTTATCTTGTAGGTAGTATCTTTTTATACTCATAATACTATAAATTAAGTTCATTTTTTAAACTTTTCAGTTATTTTATTTTTTAATTTATTTTATTTTTATTGTGTTAATTAAGTTCATTTTTAAATTATTTGCAGGACTTCTTAAGTTCACAGTGTGGAATACATATGTTAGTTTTCTTTTTTCCCCTGTAGATTGGTTTCTAGTACAAAGCAGGCTGTCACTACATACTGACCTTTTTTTACTTTGCTTTTATATTTTATGATTGTTAGCATGTAGAAGTTGGATTTGGCTGAGGATTTTGTGTTGTGTACAGAGGTAAATTATTTAGAACAATTGATGATTCCTTTGTTTTCTGGTTTTTAAGGACAAGGACGTGAGTTTGTATAGACTTTATTTCTAATTTTTTTCAGCAGACATTTTATTGAGGACTTATGTATTAGCCTTTGATAAAGCAACTGAGTGATGGTTGTAAATCAAAGTACCTCTTTTCTTGTATATGAGGATGAAAGATAAGACCTGTTTAAATAAGAGTTAATATGGTTAGTACAAGAACTTTGATAAGAAAGTTACTAATCTAGTTAGAACTTGTAGGGGTAGTGGACAGTGTTTTTATCGATGAAGATCAAGGGGTGTTAGCTGAATCCTGCGTTTTATAAAGGAAGCAGCCATGCATAACTTTGCAGAAAATATTTTGGACCCAGAAACAGCAAATGAGTCCCTGGTGTGGGAACTGCTATTTGTGGCTATTTCTATTGGCCTAGGGCCCATACCTACCAGAAGTCTTGGTAGGAATTTAGGATTTAAGACTCTTTTCCATATGTAATACAAAATGACCAGAATGTTTTATGTGGGATAATTATTAAAAGTTATGTTATTAAAAATCACGTTGGCCCCTGTGAAAGATAAACAATTCTGAAATTATTGGGAGATTAAGAAATTTAATTTGAAAAATGAGAATAAGTACTATATTAAAAAGTTGTTTTCTAGGAATATTTTTAAAGCAAAGCTGGGTAAGAACAGAGTATGGCAAAACATTAAAGACAAATAAATGTTCTATTAAAAGAAAGAAAAGCAAAGAAAGTTATTATAACTACAGTAAATACAGCTGCAATCATATTAGGATATTTCCTTTTAATATTTAGCAGAACAGATACCAAAAATTTGTACAGAATATAAACAATCATTTTGAATAAGTAATAGTAACTTTTTTTCTAAATGACAGTACACATTGTTTTATATACCTTTGGGACACTGGAAAATGTAAAGAAATCCAAAAATAAAGTGAGTTATACATTAGAAAATGTATATTTTCATAAAATGTGAGAGCTATTCTTTTTGATGCTGGATGGTATTTCAAGAAGTTTTAATAATACATTTGTATTGGGTGACTTAATGGAAGGCAGTTACTAGTAAAATGTCTCATATTTGGCAGGGGAAGGACCTGATCATTATTTTCTTTATTTGAACTTGATTTTAGTTTCAGTA